AGGGGATTTCCAAAATTGAGTGTAACATATGAATATTAGAACTGAGTGCAGAATTGGAATTTGGGTGCAAAACGTGTAATATTAAAAAAAATCACAATTTGAAATTGGGTAAAAACTTTAGCGCATAGAGTTTCGATCGCTAATTTTTTTTAATACAAATTTGTAATTAGATAAAAGCGTTCATGCTAATAACGTATTATAAGATTAAAGAAACAAAAGAGAATAAATAGAGAGTCAAAACTCAATTGTTTATTTTATTGACAATCAAGTCCCGTATTTATAGAGTTTAAAATTAAAGTTATAATTGAAATGAAATAGACTCTCTAAACTAGATAAGATTTATCTATGCATGATAATAAAACTAGATAATTATCAATATTTATCTTATAGTTTTACAACATCTAGCACTTTTTTAATAAAATTATATTATGTTCCACAAAATATATAGGATGACAAGTTCTATGATTATATATAATTCAAATACAATGAAGTCATCACACTTTAATTTGGTTTATTTCGTCTTATTTACTAACGACAATTGATAACGTGATAATTAAATTTAATGATCAGCTCGTTCTATGGGGATGTTAATATGCTGCCAACTCAATAATTTATTTTTGGGAAAATTGCAACCACGTTATCAAACCTTTTATTTTGTTATAGATTTGACTCAAACCTTTTATTTGTACCACCCATGATACCAAAACTTTAAAAAATTCGTATCTAGAGTCCAAATGGATGAAAATCGTTAGTTTAACTGTTAATGGATTTAAAAAATTGACTTCGACCAATTTCAAAATGGGTAAAATGGTAACTTTTTGAATTAAAATAAAACAAAAAATCAAAAGTCCCCCCCACCTCCACACCCTACGCCCACCCCTGAAATCCGTCACCGTCACCTCCATCGTCATCACCACCGCTACCTAACGCAGGCATGGTCGTCGATAGCATCAACGCCAATGGTTCTTGTAGAGTTGAGATTCACAATTTAGATGCAGGAAGTCACTTCTTGTAGCAGCCAAAATTTAACTAAAAATGGTGAAGGGTTTAGTGAAAAAACTTTTAAAAAAAAGTGAGAAGAAGACTCCACACCAACAGACCTTATCAAGAGAGGATTCTAAATATGGTTGAAGCAAGAATATAAACTGTCTCTGCCCTTAAGTTTCATAGAGCAGGCATAAAAAAAGCCCAAGAAATAGAAAATCAATCCCTTCTCAAGAAATATGTGTCGAAAATTACGTTAAATTGAAATTCAAGAAAAATCCAAGAAAAACCCAAGGGAAATCTGGAAACACCACGGACAACACCCAACGCCAGCGCATACGTCGGCACAACTCAAGAAACTCATCAAAATTTCCATCACCTTTGTCAAACCCATAAAGAAACTCCAAAACTCCTTTGTCAAAATTTCCACCACCCAATCGCCCGTCATCGCCGTCTCTAATTTCCAGTTCAATTTCTGAAACCGAACAAAAAGGTGAATGATTTGCAATCTTCTAGCAATTATTTCATTCATCGCAATTTGCAACTCTTCTCACATCTCAATAGCCCTTCACCTACAAAATTTCAAACGATGCTTTGGCTGACGTTAATGAGGGTGGGGGTAGGGGGAGCTTTTGGCCGGTGGTGTTGCTATATTATAGTGTTTTGTTTTGGGGTGGGGAGGGGAGGGGGAGATTTTGGCTTTGGTTTTTGATATTTTGTTTTTCGTTTTATTTTAATTCAAAATTACCATTTTACTCCTTTAAAATTGGTGAATGTCAATTTTTTGAGTCAATTAATAGTCAAACTAACGATTTCCATTCATCCGAATTTTTGAAAGCTTTGATACTGTGGGTAGTACAAATAAAAGATTTGGGTCAAGTTTACAATAAAATGAAATGTTTGGTACCATAGTTGCAATTTTTCCTTTATTTTTGGATTATAGCCCAAGCTCTTATATGTCAGCTTAATTTTTTCATTTTTTATTTTTGCATAAGCTATTATAGATTAGTTTTATTACATTGACTATCTGTCCGTAATCAACATCCATTTCTATCTGACCTCTTTCACCTATGCATAGTCGGGGGAAGCTAGAAGTGACCTTGGGTGCTTACTCTTCTTAACATGCTATCATAGCTAGGCTTGTCACTGTTTTTTCTGAAAAAAATAACAGTTTGATGAAAGAATGAATATGACTTGCATGCAAGGAAATTTATTTAATTCATGTGCGGTTTCATAAAATACAATACAATACAATTCTATCAGTGATCTTATTATTTATTGGTCTAGATAGATCAATACAATAATACACTACATCAGATAATCATCGACCACCAGATAGCAAGGAGTCAGCAACGGAGGAAGAGTACGTAAATGCCTTGCTCACTGAAGATGGACGTGACATAATAAATTCATCAAAGCCTTCACCATGTGCAAATGTTATGCCAGCTCCAGAAATACGGAGTGATGACAACTCTGGCAATGTAACAGCGCTCTCTAAGCACAGCAGAATTTGCCGCATATTTGGCCTAGCAACAGCATCAGAATTAGAGCATATTAACCCAAGTTTTAATACCAGTTCCACCTCTTCTTTCACATATTCATTACCCAATTTTGAGTCAACGGCCTGTAAAATTTCACCTCTAGTCCAGTGGGAGAAAACCCAGTCCACTAAAATTATGTCTTCTGTGGGTGCT